GCCTGGCATAAATTCAGCCTGGTCATGATGCATTGTATTTTTTATGTCTTGTTGGATTCAGTATAGGTATCATATTGTTCAAGATTTCAAAGCTGTATTCAAGAGTGGGATTGGCCCATGATTTTTTTCCTTTTTGTGCTATTCTTGTCTGGTTTTTAGTATCAAGATTCTGTTAGCCTTGTAAAATGCACTGAGGTCTCTTCTCTTTTTTCCTTATTATGAAAGATGGGAATGATTGTCATCTTGAAAGTTTGGTGGAATTCACTTGTAAAATAATCTTTTCCTCTGTTTTCTTTGTGGAAAAATTTTAAACTTTTAATTCAGTTTATTTAAAGGAGCCAAGGACTATTGAAACTTCCTATTTTTTTTTCCAAACACTTTTAGTAAGTGATTATTTGTCTAAGAATTTGCCCATTTTGTGTAAGTTTTCGAACTCACAGACGTGCAGGTATTTATCATGTTGTTCTTGTGATCTTCCTCATTAAACTCTCACCCAGCCCAGCAAGGTAGCTATTATCAACTCATCTTACACGTGAGAAAACAGAGGGGTTCAGAGACAGGAAGTCACTTGTCAAACAGCCAGGAAGTGGCAGAGCTGGAATTTAAATGCAGGTCTCTTTGAGCTGCAAAGAGCTGTTTTCCATCTTGTGCTGGGCCTTCAGCACGGCATGGGCAGGATTTGGACAGGCAGCAATGGGAAAAGAAGGGCATGCCTGGGTGAGGCAACAGCATGAGTGGGTGAGCACATGCAGCGGTGTGATTGGTGGGATATTCAAGTGGGTGTCGGGGAGAGTGGGAAGTGGGGGCAGTGTGGGTGTGTGCCTTGCTGCTGAGTCACGTTGAGAGATCCAGAGGGGCAGGGTGCTTGGGCTCTGCCTCCAGCCAGATCATTGACAGCTGGGGTGATGTGGCCTAGGGAAGTCAGGCCCAGGCTAATTGCCATGTGGTTGGTGGGAACAATCAGTGCTGCTGGGGTCTCGAGAAGATGCACCTTTGGGTCAAGGTGGTGACAGTGTGGGCTGGGCTGGACAGGACAGGGCTGCTGGGAAGGAGGGGAGTGGGACAGGCTATGGCAGATGTCTGTTCAGGGGACAGGGGCCATGGGTCAGCCCCTTTTCTCTCTCTCTCCACACCCTATGCTGGTCTAGCCTCCACTCCCTTCTTTGCTTTCCAAACAGAGGAGCCCAGATTTTTGTGGTGTGGAACAGAAAGCCATGTTGATTTCGATGCGTCGTCAGTCTGCGAATTTTTACCATGGGTATTTTTGACGCTGAGTAAATGGTGTGAGGAAGCTGTCTGGGATGTTGCCAGGATGTGGCAATGGACCCTCCCTCTCCAACCTCTGTGTCTGAAATCCTGCCTGTGAAAACCCTCAGCCCCTTCTAAGCCCTGTCCATCTGGAGCTCTTCACCCCTGTGGATGCCAATGGGTTCCACCTGCCAAATGGTTTGTCATTAAGTGCTAGATCCTTTTCATCACCGTGAATTCTTGTTTATCAGGAAGAAAGAAACAGAGAAAGCAGGGTAGACAACAGGGCCCAGACAACAGGGCCCAGGTTTGAATCCTATGCTGCTGCTTAATGACCAGGTAACTTACCCTTTGTCAGCCTTGGTTTCCTCATTTGGATTGGGGATAACCGTAGTGCGTATATCATAGGAACAGTCTATTTTTTTTTGAAGATTTAAAAAATTTATTTATTCATGAGAGACACAGAGAGAGAGGCAGAGACAAGGGCAGAGGGAGAAGCAGGCTCCCTGTGGGGCGCGGATGTGGGACTCGATCCCAGGACCATGGGATCATGCCCTGAGCTGTGGCAGATACTCAACCACTGAGCCACCCAGGCGTCCCCATCATAGGAACAGTCTAAGGATTAAGTGACCTGAGTATCACACCAAACATATGAAAGCACTTGATACGTAAGACATTATTCACTATTTTTACAAGCTATGTTTCTTTATAGTTATATCTTAATTGCACTAGTGAAGGAACAGTCTGGAGTGGTGCCAGACCATATAACTGGGGGCCTGTCCTCATCTGAGGCGATGGGAATTGGGGAAGGGGACTACTGTGAGGAAGGTCTGAAGATTTTCATTTTCACGTGGGGAAACTGAGGCCCAGAGAGGTCAAGGGACTCAACCCAGAATTCAAATTCAGGTCTCTCTGACTCCAGACGCAATGCTTTTGCCTCTGGGCCTCGGACCTCCCTCCCTAGACCTCAGCTGTCCAGTTGGGTACTTGCAGAAGGTGTGGAGCTGGGGAGAGCCTGGAATAAGCCCCAGGAGGCATCCTGAAGCTGAGGGCTGGCTCTCACCTTCCCTCGCCTCTTCCTCCAAGCTGGTCCTGGGGGTGGGGGTGGGGGTGAGGAAGAGCTTGTGTCTCAAATCCCATGGGGAAGACCACACACAAGGACAGTGGAGAGCTGTCTTCTCTGGGCCTCAGAAGTAGAATGTCCTCTTGGCAACATCATGGCTCAACACCCTGCTGTCTTCTGGTGGTCTTTATAGAGCAGCTTATGTCCTTCTTGGGCTCAGATGGAAGCCACCCTGATTTGGCTGTGACTTCCAGTCAGGACCCCGACCAGGTGGGATTATTTTGCTTGTCTTCAGCCATTGCAAGTTGATTCTACGTGTACGTGAGGCTACACCTCAAGAGCCCTCCAGGGAGCTGTCAGCATGGCTTCTACTAACAGCCCTAAGACTCCTCTGTCTCTCCCAGTTTGTCAAGCCAGCAGATAGCCTTTGTCTTGAAATCTTTGCGCTTGTGTATCTGTTGTAGATGCTCTTCAGAACTGTCAGGTCCTGAACCAGGATCCTGCAGTTGGAGAAGGGCCAGGAAAGGAAGGCCCCCTACAGTCAGCCAACTGCCCTGGCTTCCTGGGACTAATTATGTCCACAGCCTCATCTGCAGGTGCTTGCTATGTGCCAGGCACCGGGCTGGGTGCTTTATAGGCATTATCTTATTTAATATTTATATAATCATAATGGCAACAGTTTTTGTCTTCACTTGAGGGAGGTTTAGGGAGAGTAACATCCCCAGGGTCCCACACAGAACTGGGATTTGATCTCAGGCCTGTCTGACTCCAGGGCCTGTAATTTTTTTTTTAAGATTTTATTTATTCATTAGAGACACACAGAGAGAGACAGACAGACAGGCAGAGGGAAAAGCAGGCTCCATTCCATGCAGGGAGCCTGATGTGGAACTCAATCCTGGGTCTCCAGGATCATGCCGTGGGCTGAAGGTGGCGCTAAACCGCTAAGCCAACGGGCTGCCCCCAGAGCCTGTATCTTAATCACCACAGTCATCCCTGTGTTCCCCTGAGGATGTTTCACAAAACAAACAAAACTCTCTGTGGTGAGAGATGGTGGTGAAACATTGCTATTTCTACTCATCTCTTGGAGATTGACAATGCACACTGATCTGTAGGGAGCCCTGGGAGGTCTTATAGGGAAGAAACATACTTTTTTCATTTCAACCAGAATTTCACAGATTCCTTTAAAACAGAGAACTCATCCTCATCTTCCTTCTCTTCTCCTTTTTAATGGAGTAGCACTTAGTCATCTGCCATCATCAGTGTTTTCTGGAATGCAGTTTCGCAACTGCTACATTAGGCAAGTCTCTTCTTTGGGCCTCAGTTTCTCCATCTGAAGAATCAGGGGCTTGGGGTATCTGACCATAGTGCTGTAACTGACACGTGACTTGCCCTCTGGCTGTAAGTAGAAAATCTGGATCAAATGTGGAGGAATTGTCTTCAGACATTGGGTGACAGGGAGCTCAGGATTGATCCCCAAGAGAAGAGGAACAGAGTGGGCTGTGCCATCGCACTGCCTGTCTGCCTGGAGGCAGTTTTCAAACTGTGGCATAGACAGTTTGCCCTGCATGGGGGTCCCCTTGATTTGAAGACACAGGGTTTGGAGTTTGGGGGAGTTGAGCTGTGCAGGGGTCTGTCCTGGTGTCATGAATCCATTCTGTCTGTCCATGAGTAGGACTCAGAGGCCAGGTGCCAGAGAAGGTTACAAAAAAGGCTCATTCTGGCCAATATCTGAAGGATGGATATGAGGTTATCAGGAAAAAACAGAAGGAGATGGGTGTTGGAGGTGGTGGGAAGGGAAGGGGCTGGCATCTGGGCCCTGCTGACGGTTCCCCACCTGACCCTACTCGTTCACACTTGGGCAGAGAAGAGCCATGAGAAATGTGGAGGGCTGGCCTTGACTGAGCCTCCTGCATTGTACCCAGGACAGGAGAGAATTGGGCATTAAGAGAGTGTCCAGAGGCGGGTGTGACCGAGAGGGGCACTTGGCTCAGTCCCAGGACCTGAGGGATCAGGGTGGGATGTCCTTGGGAACATCTCCCCAGAAGAGCGGGGAGTGGGTGGGTCTGGAGGGAGGGGATAGTTTTCCCAGGGTGTGTGTGTGTGTGCTCTTGTGCATGCGCGTGTGTGTCACCGTGAACCTCTCGACCTGTTCCCCAGTTGGCTGAGGGCGCCGCACAGGCTGACAATGGAAATGCTTACGCAGGAGAAATGCTTCTATTCAGGTGTCTCGCGTTAATCTGTGGAGGGGGTGGCAGCAGCAGCTAATTTCGGGATTTGCTTGTCTTTGAATGGGGTAATTACTGGGAGTTGCCAATTGTTCCAGATTGTTCTCTGGAAGAGGGAGAGAAGAGGGGGTGCTCTCATGGGGTCCGCTGAGTGCTGCCCCCTGCAGGCAGTGCGGTGAAGTCACGGGGTGGTCCAGGCTGAGGAACAACCCGATGGAGTCAGGGGACCCCAGGATCCCAGGAGGGCTGGGCTGGAAGGGCCCTCAGAGGCCCCGTGACCCAACCTGCTCATTTTACGGATGGAAGAACTGAAGCAGAAGGGAAGGGACTGGCCAGGCCTCTTGGCTCCAGGGAACCCCCTCCATGTGGCCCATTCACCCCCTCCCATGCCTTGAGTCTGTGTGAGGCTCCCCAGGCTGGGGGCATTGTGCATCAGGAACCCCTTTTCCTCCCTCTGTCTGCAGGAGACCAGCGCAGTGGTGGGGTCACTGAGGCCAGCAGCCTCCTGGGGGGCTCACCACGGCGTCCCTGTGGCCGGAAGGGCTCCCCGTATCACACGGGGCAGCTGCACCCTGCAGTGCGTGTGGCCGACCTCCTGCAGCACATCAACCAGATGAAGACGGCTGAGGGCTATGGCTTCAAGCAGGAGTACGAGGTGCAGGGCCCCAGTCCTGCCAGGACCCCTCACCAGGGCCTTGCCTGTTTCTCACTCCCGTGGACCCTGACCCTGGGCAACCCTCAGCCTAGCCCTGGATGGACCTTTGCTCTGACAGCCCCTAACTCAACCTAAGTTTTTTTTACCTTGACCCCGCCCCCAATCTCAGACTGACTTGGTTTCTCACACCACTCCCAATCCTGACCAGAAGTCTGACCTTCAGTCTTCTCTGTCTCCATCTAGACCCTGCTTGTGATCCTTCTCTTCTCCCTAATATGACTCTGACCACCTACCTATACTGACCCTGACCTCTGACCTAACACCCAGCCCGAATTTGACCCTGACTCTCATCCTAAATTCCATCTGAACTCAGATTTGAATCTCATTCTCCCTCCATCTGCACTCTGACACTACCTCCTTCTAACCTTCATTTGACCTTCACTTTTATCTTCTTCCCAACTCACCCCTGGATTTACCCTAAACCTGACACCCCCCCACCCCTGCTTTTTTCATTTCCTCCCTCCTACTGCTTGGCTTTGAATTTAGTCCCTTGCTGATAAAGGGATATCCGGTGACTTTATCTTAGGCACCACGTTGAACCCTGAATCTGGCCCTTATCCCTGGTCTCACTCCCATCCTGTTAGGGGATGGGGTCTTACAAGGGGAGGGGTTTCCCTTCCTTGCTGACTATGGCCTTACTTTCCCTTCTGGCAGAGCTTCTTTGAAGGCTGGGATGCCACAAAGAAGAAAGACAAGGTCAAGGGTAGCCGGCAAGAGCCCACGCCTGCCTGTGAGTCCTGGGAAAGGGCCTGGGTCTGAGGTGTGGGTGGGAGGGATCTGAGTATAGTGGGGGAGAATAGCCAGAGTGAGCCACTTATTGAGAGCCTCCGACATGCCAAGCCATGTGCTGATTACCACACCCATTATTTTACTTATTTCTCTCAATAACCCAGATGTATGAGACCTATTATAACCCCTACTTTACAGATAAGGAAACTGAGGCTTGGGACGTTAAGCTCCCTGCTCAAGGTCACACAGCTAACACTTGCCTGAGTGGCACATGACCTTGGGTCTCCTGGATGCCACAGCCTAGATTTTAACCACTGGCCTGTCCTGCCCCCTCTGGTGCCGAGAGCCTCCTGGTGAGCCCTGAGCCTCTGGGTACCCTGGCTCTCCTGCCTGTGCCGTACCTCTGGCCTCCTGGAAGCCTCCCCTCATTGCCCTGGCCCTGTGCTCCCTAGCTCAATCCCTGCCCACCCCATGGCCATCTGCTTTGTGTTTCCAGATGATCGGCACCGAGTGAAACTGCCCCCGATGATGGGAGGCCCCGATGCCGACTACATTAACGCCAACTACATAGATGTGAGTGCCTCGCCGTCATCTCTGCTGGCCTGGCCCTGCCTGCTCCAGGCGCACTGCCCAGGCAGGCCAGCATCCTGGCAGGGAATACCCTTCTGCAGTCAGTGCCAGAGAGCTTGGGGGAGGGTAGAGCAAAGCTATCGGGGAAACTTCCTGTGGGGTGGACAGGTGGGGGTTTCAGTGAAGCAGGAAGGAGGGGTAGTGGGCAGACAGCTAGGCCTGGAGTCCAAGAAGGAGCCCCTCTCAGGAAGGACCGAGAGGCTCAGAGGTGGGATTTGCATGACTCACACAGTAAGGCTGCAAGTAGGCAGGGGTGGATTGGGAAGGCCCCAGATGGCAGGCCGAAGAGATGGAACTTTTCCCTAGGGGTCCCAGGGAGTTGCTAAGAGTATTTTGACTGTGAGCTGAGTGGTACCTTAAGAACAACTCATGTTTATTGAGAATGTACTGTGTGCCAAGCACTGTGCTAAGCAATTTATATCAAAGATTTCATTTTATATAATCCCTGAAATCACGCTATGAGTTAGTTAGCATCTTGACCTCATTTTACAGGTGAGAAAACAGGCTCAGAGGGGTGGAGCTACTTGTCCAAGGTCACATAGCTTGTGAGTGGGCGAGAAGGAACTCAAATCTCAGCCTGTCTGTGTCTCCAAAGCCTCTGCTGCCAACCATGAGGCTCTCCTGCCATCGAATGCAGCAGCTAGGTCGGATGGGCCAGAGGAAGGGGCTGGGGACAGGGCAGGCAGCCAGGAAGCCCAGGCTACTGAGTGACGAGGTGACGAATCTGCTCCCCAGGTGTGAATGAGGGTGAGATGGGACAGGGCCCAGGGACCCTGGTCAGACTCCCCCAGCCTGACAGCAAGTCAAGTTTGGGAGAGAATCTTTTATTCATTTACCAGATCTATTTTGAGCATCTACCATGTGCCAGGCATTGTCCTGGGCACTAGAGGTATGGCAGTGAACCAGATAGACACCATCCCTGCCTTCCTTGAACATATAGATTCTAGTGGGGAAGGCATATGAATGTATATACAAATAATTTCAGATTAGTTGGGAAAGCACAGTCCAGGGAAGAGGAATGACTCTCCCAGTGTCACACAGCAACTTAGTGGTATGGCCAGGGTTACTCATGGCGGGCTGCATGGGGCTTGAGCTGGCTTTGGGTGGCCAGAGAGGAAAGGGTGGGAGTAGGGAGCTACAGAAGCGAAGGAGGAGGAAGGTGTGTACCTGGGAAGTGGGATAGTCAGGGACTCTGGAGACCTCTCCTCTCCCTCTTCTTCACCTCCTGGGGGGCCAGAAAATATGCTACCCCATATTTTCCAGGATTCCTTGCCTTCTTTCCCTACCTCCGGTGCTCTCCCTTGACTGGGGTATGGGCTGGGCCTAGCCTTTCGGACTTGGGTGACTTTGATGACAGGGGCCTCTTCTGGGTCTCCTCAGTGTCCCAGTTGGCTTCCCCCTGGGCCCCGGCAGGCTCATGCCTCTCCCCACTCTCTGGCCCAGCCCGGCCCCCGTCTCTGCTCTGCCTCCCCTACTCACATTGCGCATCCTGGCCACTCCTGTGCTCCGACCACCTCCATCTGCCTCTGGCCTAATATCTGTCTCTTTTGCTTTGTTCTGTTCCCTCACTGGAATCATTAAGATTCGGATAAACCGTGAAGTAAGTATCTCTCTCCCCGTCTCCTCCTCCTCCTCTCTTCTCACCAGCTGTATCTTAGACTCTCTCATGGTCTCTGGCTGTCTTTCTCTCTCTGTCTCTCTCCCCCTTTTCCCTCCACTCGTGCACCCAATGCCAACTGTCCATTTCAACAGCCTGGCCAAGGGCCACCCAGGGCTGCAGACTCAATGTGACCCCTGTTGTAAACAAGTCCTTGCCATCCTCCACTGCCCTGAGATGGGGCATCAGTGATGGGGTGCTTCCACAGGCCCCACTGACCGGCCACCACCTCTGTCACCTCTGGCTCCCCAGCTCCCCTCACCCAGTGAGTCTCACCAGCCATACCTCCTGTATGGTGCTGGCAGGGGTCGGTGGGGGAAGCTGCTTTGGTGCTCCCTCTCTGCTTCTTGGGGTCAGGGTCTTCAAGGAAGCAAGGACAGCCCCACCAGTCCCCTTAAAACTAATTTCTCTGGTGTTCGAATCCCTTTGTGGTCAGTTTGCTTGAAACTCAACCCTAGCTACTTTGCCCTCAATTTAGAGCTACTCTGAATGTTTTATTATGGGGAAACACTTTAGGTATTCTATTTTTACTTTTATTTAGTATCCTTTTTTAAAAAAAAGATTTTGTTTATTTATTAGAGAACACAGAGAGAAAGAGCATGAGCTGGGGGAGGGGTAGAGGGAGAAGCAGACTCCCCATCAAGCAGGGGGCCTGACTTGGGGCCTGACCCCGGGATCACAACCTAAGCCAAAGGCAGACGCTTAATGAACTGAGCCACCCGGGCACCCCGGGTATTCTATTTTTAAAAATTGTGTCATCCCTGGGCCTTCTAGGAATATTTTAAAAAGTCCTATCATCTGGTGGTACTTCAGTTTGGTTTTTGACATATACATTCAGCCTTTGAACAGCATGGGTTTGAACTGTACTGGTCCACTTTCTTGTGGATTTTCTTTATAAATATAGTAAATATTATAAACATATTTCTTCTTTATTTTGATTTCCTAATAATACTTTCTTTTCTCTAGCTTACTTGGTTATGAGAATACAGTATATAATACCATGTAACACACAAAATATGTGTTACTTGAGTGTTCATGTTATTGGTAAGGCTTCCAGGCAACCAGGCTATTAGGCTATTTTCAACTTCCCCAGGGGGTCAATGCCCCCAAACCCCCCGTGTTGTTTAAGGGTGAACTGCATATATTTGATGCCTGATGGGATTGTTTGTTATTTTGTGGGTACCTTTCTATTTTATCTCCTTATATATAAAAAAAAATTTGTTTTTTAAAGATTGAGGAAATATAATTCATTACCACATTTTCAGACAGTACAGAAATATACACATCTCTGTAGGTGTGAAGTGAAAGGTCCCCACAGTTACAGCTGTTGGAGATGACCAATTTTCCCAGATGTGTTCTCTGAAATCCCCTCTTATTTTGAGTGTGCTTTAACAGTTTGTAAAGTTCCCAAATTAGTTAATTAACTAATTAATTAATAGATTTTATTTATTTATTCATGAGAGACATAGAGAGGCAGAGACACAGGCAGATGGAGAAGCAGGCTCCCTGTGGGGACCCCAGGATCACAACCTGAGCCAAAGGCAGATGTTCAGTCACTAAGCCACCTAGGTGCCCCAGGTTCCCAAATTTGAATGGAAAAATAGGCCCACAAAATGGGTGGATACACTCAGCCCTAGTGTTCCGATTAGGAGGTGACAAATAACAGGTGCATTTCTTTATATCCTTACACGGCATAGTCCCACCCACTTGGTTCATTGTCAGACTCTTCAATGCCCACAGAAGGCGTGGCTTTAATCCATCTTCAAATGCCAGTTAACAAGAGTTTCATTGGCTAGGCACCTGGCCCTATGCCAGCACATTAGGCTTGTCGTTTCATCTTTCCCATACTCCCAAGAGGTAGGGGCCAGCATTTGGCAGATGAGACAATGGAGCCTTAGGAATATTCAGTGACTTGCTCATGGCTGCATGGAGCTGGGTCTCAAGCCCCGTGTGAACCCTCAGCCCTCATGCTAGACTCTGGTTCTCTCCCTGTGAGGAGCATCAGGAGGCCCTGGGGTTCTTGTCTGTGATGCAAGTGGTCAGTCCCCCATTGCCGCCCACGCAGGGGCTCCAGGCAGGTGTGGGTATGTGCCCTGGGAGCAGGTGCCCAGGACATGCCGGTGCCCATCTGTGCTCTCAGATGCTCTCAAGAGGGTATGTTCAAGGTGATGGATCTGCTTACCTTCCTTTAACACCTGATCATTTTATGCTTTCCATCATAGTGTTCTCTAATTGTGCAGGAATGCACATATGCACGAAGAAATTAATGCAGATATGGAAGGTTATCTGTTGAAAACTTGTTTAGCTGTGGACGGTACTTGCTGACTAGCCCTGGTGCTGGCCCTGGGCTGGGCCACCGGAGGGACAGAGATGGATGAATCAGAAGAGACGGTCTCATGTGGGATTCTCAGGCCAGCTGACTTTAGGTGGAGTAGCTGGTTCCCAGCTTGACCAGCGCTGGAGGTGGGAGGGCAGCCCCGGCAGTGCCTTCCCGGGCCTTCCCCCATTTGCCGAGCAGCTCAGCTGAGGACCTGAGGCAGAGGCAGTGGCTGGGGAGTTAGGCCAGAACGGGAGCAGCTCCACCAGTGAGGGCCCAGTGGCTCTGGGGACGCTCTTCACGACTGGTATACAGCAGAATCTGCAGCGTGTGTCCCACCCTGCAGCAGGGAGCAGGGGCTCCGAGAGGCTGAGAGTCTGGCTACTTGTGTGTTTTGAGGTCCACCTGGGAGCTGGTGGAAAGGCACAATCCTAGGCCCCACACCCGATCTTCTGCATCTGAATTTCCCTTTTAACAAGATCCCTAGGAGCTGCGGGCGTATGTTAAAGACTGAGGAAGGCCCTTTTAGTGGCCTGGGTCACTTAGCGGCTCTTTACAGGGAACCCACGTCACCCTGACTCCCCAGGCTCAGATTCCTAACCCCTGGAGCAAACCACCTTCTGCCCTAGGAATTCTTGACATCTGTACTATTTGAATCTTCCGGGAAACTCTTTGAACTTGAAATAGTAGCCAGAATAAGAGGTACCATTGATGAAGTGCTGACTTTGTGCTGGCTGTGGCGCCAGAAGACCCTTGACATGGTATGTTCCTTTGTTTACTCCTCACAACAGCCCGAGGAGGTAAATACTATGATCAGTCCCATTTTGTAGATGCGAAAATCGAGGCATAGAGAAATGAAGGAATTTGCTTGAGGTTGAGCTGGGACCTGAACCCTGGCAGTCCGATTGCAGGGCTCCCTCCGGGGCCTGAGGTGCGGGGAGCTGGGTTGCAGGTGTGAACTTGCCATGAGCTACGCAACCTTGATTGTTCTCTCCTGTGTCAGTGCAGTAGCATGTTTTACCCCTCCCCTGGGGTTTGCCTTGGTGCCCTAGGTGTCACATGTGGGCAGGACAGCAGGGTTGGCTGTGGCCCCGGGGTGGGTGTTGGGGCTGGCTGATTCCTCTTCACAGCCTGAAGGCTCTGGGGATGGAGGAGGAAACAGATCTTGCCCTCTCTTTTGTGGGAGATCATGCAGGTAAAGTGCTTAGCACAGTATGTGATCATAATAGGGCCTCAAAAATTATTATTGATTTTAAAGATGTAAAAACCATTTTATCTGAGGGCTGTGAGTAACCCATGTGCTCATTTGCTTCCAACCTGAAGCCTTCATCTGGGTCCCTGGGTTCCCCAAGCTCTGGGTGACATATAATAGGGAATGGGCACTGCCCATCTGGTTGCCCCGAGTGGCCTGGGATGGCTGATGAGACCCAGCCTGGGTGGGGTTCTGGGGACCCTCTGGTAACCTGGGCAGGGTCTCTGTGGACTTTATTTGTATCCAAACAGCTGGCCTATAAGCTGATTATAGATAATCTCCCCAGTTTATGGGTGGGGAGACCCTATAGGCTCATAAAGGAGTCATGTCTCTGTGGGGTCACACAGCAAAGATGGGTTTCAACCCAAGACACTGGTGTCCCAGCTGCTTTTCTGTCCTTACTGGGGAGCTGGGAGGACAGGCTCCCTGTCCCCTCCACCCCTCAGGTTAGGGGGTTCTAGGGAAGAGGGCGGGCAGCTGGCTGTGGCTGTGTATGTGCTGCATCTGGGAGAGGAGGGCAGAGGAGGTAAGATCTGAGGGAGCGAGGGGCTGCTCCCTGGGGTCTCACTGCACCCTCTTCTGTTCCAGGGCTACCACAGATCAAACCACTTCATAGCCACTCAAGGTACCTGCCCCTCTAACCGTGTGTGCCCGCTTGCTGAATGCCATCTGCTGCCTTTCTGCCTTTCTCCTGACCTGCTTGACTCCCTGTCTGCCTCCCTGCTGTCTCTGTGCCTGAGTCCCACTGTCTGGCTGGGTCTTCTGGAATCTGGCCACCAATCTCTGCCCCCTCTTTGTGTTTGCGTCTCCCCAATGTGTTCAGTGCATCTGTAGTTCCCTTGGCCATCTGTCTGTCTCTGAGGTGGTGCATGCAGAGGGGTAGGCAGGCTCACTCAGTCCTGCCAAGTGTAGATCATGCGTCTTGGTCTGGGGGCTGCCTGGGTCCCTCTGGCTATCTTCCCCACCACCCCTACCCAGCCGTTCATTTGTGCATTCCTCTGGGAGACTTGTGCCGTACACTGAGGATCTAGCCCTCCAGCTCTACCTGCTGGGTTTCACTTTGGATGACTGGGGTCTCGTGCCAGGCCCTCCCTCATACTACCCCCCACCCCAGGCCCTCCAGGCATGAGCTGGCACGCTAGGTGGGGTGGTGTGTGGGGTGTACATGAAGCCCTCACTGGGGCTCAGGAGCCTCCCAGCCTGGGGTGGTGGTGCTGGGTGGCAGGTGTGCTGGCCCTGGGACTAGCACCCTCTGCGCCCCAGGGCCGAAGCCCGAGATGGTCTACGACTTCTGGCGCATGGTGTGGCAGGAGCACTGTTCCAGCATTGTCATGATCACCAAGCTGGTGGAGGTGGGCAGGGTAAGCAGGGCTTTGTGGTGTGGGGGTAAGGCGGGCCAAGGTGGGGCCCAGCAAAGAGCCCACCGAGTCTGCCTGTGGGGACTCCAGGTGAAATGCTCTCGGTACTGGCCGGAGGACTCGGAAATGTATGGGGACATCCAGATCACGCTGGTGAAGACGGAGACTCTAGCTGAGTATGTCGTGCGCACCTTTGCCCTGGAGCGGGTGAGTCTCCTGCCACCTGGTCCCTCCAGGGGTGCCTGAAGAGGCGGGGCAGAGGCCACCTCCCTGCTTCCCAGTGCGGAGCAGGAGGGGTGAGGAGGGCTCCGCTGTCCTCCCCAGCAAGGCAGCTGCTCTGTAACTGCAGGGGGCATGGTGGGAAGACGGGATGGGGACCACCTTTGCTGGGGACTCCAAGAGGACATCGAGATGTTGGAAATAACGGTAGCAGGCAGGGCTGGCCCGCTCTGCTGGGCATGGTGTGGAGCCCGTAGCCCATGTTGGTTAAGCCCTGGAAAACTCTGGGATGAGGTGTTTCCATTAGTCCTGTTGTACAAATAAAGTGAGGTGGAGTGCTGCATCCCTCTCGGGGCCACATGGCCAGTGACTGCCTGAGTCCTCCTGTCTGTGATCCCATTTATCCTCTTTAACAATCCTCAAAGGAGACACTTTCCCCCTGTAGGCTAAGACCAGAGAGTCAAAGTGATCTATCTCTTGGGTTGCACAGCAATGTGGAGGCAGAGGCAGGTGATTGGCAGACAGCTTTAGGCATCTGGCAGGCCCTGGCCCCACTCCTCTATAGTATTTGTCTTGTCTAATGTTGGCCAAGCAGTTTCTTCTCTTTGGGCCTTGGTTTTCTTGCTGGTACAGTGAGTCATTAATACCCACTCATAAGTTTATCATTGGGATTAATTGATTGAGATCCTGCGGTGGGATACTCGCCACGGCTGCTTGGCACCCAGCAGGTGTCTAATGGATGCCAGCAGTGACTCTGACTGTCTCCCCAGAGAGGCTACTCTGCCCGGCACGAGGTCCGCCAGTTCCACTTCACAGCATGGCCAGAGCACGGCGTCCCCTACCATGCCACAGGGCTGCTGGCCTTTATCCGGCGTGTGAAGGCCTCTACCCCACCCGATGCTGGGCCCGTTGTCATCCACTGCAGGTGAGGTGCTGGGAATCCCAAGGAGAAGAGGACAAGGCGTGGAGTTGGTTTGGGTTCATCCTGCTTAGAGCCAGAGGACAGGAGGGACGGATGCCCAAGGGCCCTTTGGCTCTGAGGCTGGCACCCTCATGTGCTGCCTAAGACCCATGGAGGCCCCGGGTCTAGAGGCTGAGGGAGGCACAGGAGATGGGTGGGTGTGGGTGTGGGGTGGGGTGGGGTGGGGGAGGGCTTGGTGAGGCACCAGGCAGGTTGAGTTCCATTTGCTTCCATTCAGCGAGTGTGCATTGCACACCTGCGTGCTAGGTTTGGCCTGGGTGCTAGGAAGGACTTTGCCCTCTCTTCTCCAAATGCTGTGGGCTTTCCTCACTGCTTGGCCTTCACACCTGTGCAGCTCCTGACCATCACTCCTTTCTGTTCCAAGTCCTGCCTTGCTTGGCCCCTGTGACCCCAGTTGCCTTTCCTCTGCTCTGCTTTCTCTCTGGCTCCACATCTTTCTCTTGTTTCTGAGGTACCCTGTCCTGTTTCTGCCCCACTCTCCTCCTAGGAAGCTTAACCTCTGACCCTGTGGTTTCACTCATTGCTCCAAGCCCACAGGTCCTTGGTCTCTGTATCTTGTCCTGGCTCCTCTGCTTGGATTCCTCTCAGATTTCCAAATGCCACATAACAGAATCCCTCCCTCCCTCCCCCGCAGATCACTTCTCTTTGGTTTCCTTGGGCTTCTTGCAGATACTGTCTTTAAAATAAGACTTCGGGGCATCTAGGTGGCTCAGTCGGTTAAGCGTCTACCTTCAGCTCAGGTCATGATCTCAGGGTCCTGGGATTGAGCCCCATATCAGGCTCCCTGCCCAGCGGGGAGCCTGCTTCTACCTCTCCTGCCATTCCCCCTGCATGGGCTCACTGGGTCTCTCTCTGTCAAATAAATAAAATCTTAAAAAATAAGATTTCATTGAGGTATAATATACTTAAAGAAAAGTGTACACCTAGTAAGTATATGTAATTTTATTGATTTTCATAAATTAAACATACCTGTGAAATAACCAGCACTGCTCAGATCAAGAAATAGAACATTAGCAGCATCCCAGAGCCCCCTTGAGCCCCCTTCCAGTCTGTACCCATCTCAGCGCTCCCAGAGCAATCTCTATCCTGACTTCTAAAGCGTGAATTCATTTTGTGTGTTTTTGAACTTTGTATAAATGGAATCATACAGTGGGTGCTCTTTGGCGTGTGACATCTTCCTCTCAACTTTATGTTTATAAGATTCATCCATATTATATCATATTCTACTGGTTGAGTAAACCACAATGTGTTTATTCGTTCTGCTATTGATAGATTCTTGGGTTGTTTCCAGTGTTGAGCTATTATGAATAGTGCTGCTAAGAACGTTCTAGGGCATGTCTGGGGGCCAGTGTATGGATGCATTTCTGGGGTGGGGGTACATACGTAGGAGTGGAATTGCTGCCTGGCAAACATTCAGCTTTGGTAGATGCTGCCAAACAGTTTCCCAAACTGGTGGTACTAATTTCAGCCCCCAGTGGGGGGTGTGGGAGACTCGCTACTATGCGTTCTTGTCAATGCTTTGACACCACCATTTTCAAGCTTGAAATTCTGGTGTCGTTTTTGTTCTGTGTCTGCGCCTTGACTCTGCTCAACATGGTACTGAGCACGAGCATCCCAGAGATGGGTCTGACCTGACCCAGCTCTGGCTGAACTCCCAGCCGGGTCGCTGAGACAGCCACCTCAAGGATGACCACGATGCAGGAAGAGTGTTTAAGAGCCTGCCCAGATTCCTCTGCTGGGAGGGTTGGGGAGGCTCCACTGAGCATGTGAGCAAGTATGAGTGTGTGGGGCTTTGAAGGATTTGTGTGGATTTGGGGATATCCAGGAGGCAAGAACATTCTTGGATTAAGCTCTGAGCATCACCTTTGTCCTCTGCCCAGCTCAGTGACTACCCTTTCCCTCCCTTCCTTTCCGAGGCCCATCACATTTTGCCACAGCTCCTGCCACAGACTTCTCCCCAGCTCCTCCTTGTCGGTGGGGTGGCATGTCTCTCTGTCCCCCAGCCTCTGTCAGGTGTAGACATGGCCAGATACCCCAGGCCCCCTCTTCCCCTCCTCTTGGTCCTGGGCTCCCTTCCCGGGCTCTGATGGGGCACCTGGCTGCTCTCTCCCCAGTGCGGGCACAGGCCGTACAGGCTGCTACATTGTTCTGGATGTGATGCTGGACATGGCCGAGTGTGAGGGCGTTGTGGACATTTACAACTGTGTGAAGACCCTCTGCTCCCGGCGTGTCAACATGATCCAGACAGAGGTAGGGGACACAGCCCTCCCTCCCTGCCTGCTCCAGGACTTGGGCCCCTCACAGAGGAACTCAAAGCTGGTGGAGTGTGTCAGAGGGGTGTCCTTAGAGCTGAGATCCAGGAGGTTGGCCTGCCAACCTCTGAGGGTCTTTGCAGAGTTAGCTCCACTATGTTCAGTTGGGTGAGGTCAAACAGCATTGGGCCAAGGTCATAGGTTCTGCTGGTGAGGTCTACTGCTGTTTGTATCCTCATTAGATGTGTGACTCTGGGGGGCACCTGGGTGGCTCAGTGGCTGAGCATCTGCCTTTGGCTCAGGTCATGATCCCGGAGTCCCGGGATTGGGTCCCACAACATTGGACTCCCTACAGGAAGCCTGTTTCTCCCTCTGCCTATGTCTCTGCCTCTTTCTATGTCTCTCTCATGAATAAATATATAAAATTAAAAAAAAAAAAGATGGGTGACTCTGGGCTCTCCCCTCACCTTCAGAGCTTCTTACAGGGTATTGTAGGGATGAAATATGAGGTAAGAGAACATATCTGTGAAGATTGTTTCAAGTAGAGTTGGTCCAACCTGTAGTAACAGGTGGTTGGACTCCAGCACCCCTGCCTCAAGTTTGGCCTGATTCCTGCTGCCATCACCCCCAAATCTCTAGGTTCTAGTCCCCCTCCTAATTCCTTATATTCTCTCCTCCTGTTCCAGGAGCAGTACATCTTCATTCACGATGCAATCCTGGAGGCCTGCCTGTGCGGTGAGACCACCATCCCTGTCAGCGAGTTCAAGGCCACCTACAAGGAGATGATCCGCATTGATCCTCAGAGTAATTCCTCGCAGCTGCGGGAAGAGTTCCAGGTGGGGCAGGAGTGTGTATATATAGCTGTGTGTGTGTGTGTGTGTGTGTGTGTGTTGTGAGTGTGTGTGTGTATATATTGGGAAGTCCTTAGTGTTATAGGAGTCACTGAGAGCCAAGACAGAGAAGAACAGAGTAGGGCTGCTGGGAAGGACTTGGAGATGGTGGAGGAGGTGGTCCCTCCAAGTGGTTGAGAACCCATGCTTTGAATTCAAGGAAGCCCCAGTTCAAGTCCTGGCTCAGTGAAGAGCTGTGAGTAGCCTTGAGCACTCACATTACCTCCCCAGGCTTTGGTTTTCTTATCCAGGAAAGAAAGTCAATATTTTTTTTTTTAATCTGGACGGATAATCTCCGTCTTTTTTTTTTTTTAATTTTTATTTATTTATGATAGGCACACAGTGAGAGGGAGAGAGGCAGAGACACAGGCAGAGGGAGAAGCAGGCTCCATGCACCGGGAGCCCGACGTGGGATTCGATCCCGGGTCTCCAGGATCGCGCCCTGGGCCAAAGGCAGGCGCCAAACCGCTGCGCCACCCAGGGATCCCTTTTTTTTTAATTTTTATTTATTTATGATAGTCACAGAGAGAGAGAGAGAGAGAGAGAGAGAGGCAGAGACACAGGCAGAGGGAGAAGCAGGCTCCATGCACCGGGAGCCCGACGTGGGACTCGATCCTGGGTCTCTAGGATCGCGCCCTGGGCCAATGGCAGGCGCCAAACCGCTGAGCCACCCAGGGATCCCGGAAAGAAAGTCAATATTGCCCTCATAGTGTTTGTATTCATCAGGATCCTTTTGGTCACAAGTGACAGAAATCCAGCTCAATGACTCTTATAACTGAAAAGTCCGAGGATGGCTGGATCCAGGGGGTTAAGTGATGACACCAAGAGGTAGTCTCTGTTCATTTTTGGCTCTGTTTTCCTCTGTTTTTGGCCTCTTTCTCAGACTCATACCCTGGGCCCCAGCAGTGCCAGGCTCACGTCATCCCTACTGTTAGGAGACTGGAAAAAGGATTCCCTACAGCCCCAATAGAAGTCCTAGACCAGATTCTCCTGGGCTACCCGTGAGCCAGTCACTGGGGCCAGAGAGTAGGAACATATTGATTAGGGCCAGGCCTGGGTCCAAGGGTGGAACCACTCTAAGCATGTCACATCACAGAGATGGAGGAAGTCTGGTTCTCCAGAGAAGTTCCAGAATAGTCAGTGGGCAGGCAGGGGGCCCAGATGTCCTCTTTTTTTTTTTTTTTTTTTTAAGATTTAATCTATTTATTCATGAAAGACACAGAGAGAGAGAGAGAGAGAGGCAGAGACACAGACAGAGGGAGAAGCAGGCTCCATGCAGGGACCCTGATGTGGGGCTCAATCCCAGGACTCCAGGATCACGCCCTGGGCCAAAGGCAGGCGCCAAACCACTGAGCTACCCAGGGATCTCCCAGATGTCCTCTACATTCCAGGTTCCTGCCAGGGTTCAGCGGGATGGCACCTTCTAGATATCTGCAAAGACTGGTATCACAGAAAATGCTGCCTGTGATTTGTGGAGCTCTTTTGGGGATCACGAGAGACTGAGGTTCCCTCTTAGGGATCCCCAAGGACAAGCAAAACAAGCTGAGACCCCATGGATCAGGCGGTAGGAAGCATGAGGTGGAGGAGATAACCTAGAGTCCCAGGTTGGCTGTGTGCCAGGTGCCCCAGACTTCATTCTGTTCTGACGGGGCTGACCACCTCCGCCAGGTCCCCAGAGTCCACCTTTTGGAAGATGTGGGGCTTCAGGCCATGTCTCCCTGAAAGCCCTCGATGAGCTAGTAATGATCCTCACTGTGCCTTTCACATACGGAGCCTTGCATGTGCCAAGCTCAGTGCTCGGTCCTTGGCAGGATCTCACTCAATCCTCCCAACAGCCCCTCGAGGCAGGCATATTATTATCCCACCTGACAACTGATAAAATAGTGCTGAGACATACAGTCGCGTGTCTAAGGTTACACGGGGAGTGAGGAGCCAGACTGGGGTCTCCAGAGCTCTGTTCAGGGCCTACACCATCCAGAGATGGGGAATGGGGTCCCTGCCCTCTCCCCTTTCTCTCTGAACCTCAGTTCTCCATCCATAAAATGAGGTTAACAGCCGAGCTCAGTCTCCTTCTTGGGGCTGTGAGGAGGCCCAGCCAACACTGGACGTCCATACCTCCCCCACCCTGCCGACCCCACTTCTCCTTCCACTCCTTGTAGACACTGAACTCGGTCACACCACCCCTGGATGTGGAGGAGTGCAGCATTGCCCTGCTGCCCCGGAACCGAGACAAGAACCGCAGCATGGACGTCCTGCCGCCCGACCGCTGCCTGCCCTTCCTTATCTCCACCGACGGGGACCCCAACAACTACATCAATGCAGCGCTGACTGACGTGAGGGCTTGGGGTGGGCTGGGCTCTGGGACTCCCTCAGGCAGCAGGCAGCAGGATTGGGGAGGCTCAGGAGCCAGGGGCAGCGCCGACGGTTAGGTCGGGACCAGGTTGGAATGAGGTTGGGACGGGGAGCAGAGTCAGTGCCTGTCACTGGTCTGGGGCCCTGGGTTGGGGTCTCAGACCCTTCATCCATGGAATTGGAAGGGACTTAGGGATGTATTTATTCAAAAATATTTATTGAGCTCCTACATTGTGCTGAGTGCAGGCCATACCCCCAAATCTCTGTTCTCCTGAGCCTGGTATGTGGGTAATGGGTTGGGACAGTCAGTAAACAAAGATACAGTGGCATGTCAGATGCTGGTAATTTCTACAAAAAGCAACCAGGCAGAAGAAATATATACTGAGCTTTGGAGTGTGAATATGGCTGTTTTTGGTGAAGTGGTAAGGAGGTCTCTTTTTTTGACATCTCTTTGAGGAGGTAACTGTTAAAGAGCCAAAAGGAAGGAGGGGGAGAATTGTGTAAACATTTGGAAATTTATTCTAGGTGACAGGAATAGCAGGTGCTAAGGCCCTGAGGCAGAGAACAAGCTTGGGCAGCCTCTATCATGCGCAAGTCCCCATCGCCATACATTTGGGAACCTTTAATATTTAGTTCCAGGGGCTGTGGGCTTGGGTACCAGTGGCCTGGTGGGGCTGCGTACCCTGTCAATTCAGGCCTCAGTGAGCTAGCCAAGCTCTGAAATGGATCCCTGGAGGCAGCCTGGCCCTGAGGGGAGAGCTGTCCAGCTCAGGGTGGGCAGAGGGGATGACCGCTGTGGCGGGGTGGTGGGCAAGCCCCACTAAGACCTGGTTTCCCTGCAGAGCTACACGCGGAGCGCAGCCTTCATCGTGACCTTGCACCCGCTGCAGAGCACCACGCCTGACTTCTGGCGGCTAGTCTACGACTACGGGTGCACCTCCATTGTCATGCTGAACCAGCTGCACCAGTCCAACACTGCCTGGGTGAGGACTCCGCTGCCCAGGGCCTGGTGGGGTCAAGGGCATGTCCCAAAAGCCCAGAGTTGGATCCCAGTCATGCCACCTATTTATTGAGTGACTTTGGATGGTCCCATTCCCTCCCAGAGCCTTGGTTTTCTCATCTGTAGAAGGAAGCTGTCAAATTGGAGGGAAATATCTGCTTTCTGTTGAGCACCTGCTGTATGCCCAGGACTCTGCTTTGCACTTATGGGCTTTGGGTGAAAAGATTGAGACCCACATATCTGGGAAGTGGCAAGACTATGCCCCTCCCCTAGGCTGCCTTCTTCCAGAGCCCGGGGACTCACTGCCTGCTGTGGGGGTCATTGAGGCTGAGCAAAATTCCAGCCTTCTTACTTTTTGACTGATCTTGGGTAAGTTCATTTGCCTCTTTGAGCCTCAGTTTTTTTCCTGCCCAGCACATAGTAGCTGCTAAGTGCATGGCAGGGATGAAGATAATGAAGTTGCTGCTGAGGTTGCTCTAGATACTGGCTCCGTGGCCTCTGCTTGAGGGCTGCCCCAGTTTCCTTTTGGGGCTCCCAAAGCTGGCACTCCCAGGAAGTGCAGATTTTCAGCCTTCTAGTCCCACGTGGCCATATCCCTTAGATCTCTGGGCCTCCCTTCAATTCCCTGTCCTAGGCAGCCAGGAAGAGTTGCTGTAAAATGAGCCTGACGGTCTCGTAGAGGCTGAGAAGACTTGCTAACTGGGCTCTTTATGAGTCAGGCACATGGTATAAATGACAGGACTGCCGGCTAATGGGCTCTTGCCCTGGGCAGGGATCTGTGGGGCATCCCGTGTGGGAAGAACTGGCCCTTGCTAAAGTGGAGGGGAAGGACCTAGAGGGAGGCTCATACAGATGTCATTCAGTGGTCCCCATATCCTCTTTCATTCAGCTACCTTTCTTCACTAGCCACTCCCTGCCAGGTGCTGCAGTAGGCAGTGGGGAGACAGAAGAAGAAACACACCACCCCTCTCAGATCTCATGGTCCAAGGGGAAGTAGGGTGCAAAAACCGATAGTGATGGCACAGAGGGAAGGGGCTATCATGGAGCTGGCACTGGGATGCAGAGAAGCCTGGGGATAGTGTATCAGGGAAGGCTTCTGGAGGAGATAATATTTGAGCTGAGATGTGTAGGGAGGGTAGAGTTAACTAGGTGAAGATAGGGGAGATGAATGATCCATGGAGAGGAAGCGGCATGTGCAAAGGCCCGAACACGAAGAATTGCCAGGACCCTAGGCAAAAAGAAGGTAGTGCCCTCTTTGTGGGCATGGTCAGAGAGGGAAGCAGGTGCAGCATGGAGTCATCTGGGAGGAGCTTGGGAACTATTTCACAAATGGAGAAACAGAGGGCCCAGAGGAAGGAAGAGCCATGCCTGGACTCCAGGCAGAGCTGAGACTGGAAGCTGAGGCTGTGGACCTACTGGCCTGGAGGATGTGCATCTGTATGTGTGTGGGGTACCTCCTTCATCCCTCCACCATCTCCAGTCTGGCCCAGAGGGGAGGGTGCATGTGGGACCCTGACTCCATGGTGGGGTCCTAAGGCAGGAGTAGGGGTTCTGAGCTGTGTTACAGCATCGGGGACACCCCACCTCTGTGAGCTGATGTTGGAGAGCAAGGCAGTGAGAGAGAAGGCTGGGGGCGGGGGTGATGGGGTGAGTGGGAGTGATCCGAGGGTTATCCCTGGAAGAAGGCAGCCTCATGCAGGTGTGTGCATGCGTGAATGCATGTTTAGTGTAGCTATGGAGCCGCACAGCCAGGATTGTCAGTGTATCTGTGAAGGTTTGTCTCTGCTGACCTGAACAGGTCAGTGCAGAATGCATTGGGGCAGGTGAGCTCTGCATTCTCATGGGGGCGTGGTGGGACTGGATAGGGGACTCTGCAGGTGGTTTGGGAGTGAGTGGGTCAGGCTGTGTGGGAGCCCAGGGCCAGTGTGGGGTGGGTAGGAGCAGCAGCTTCCCTGGCCTGGCTCTGCTCAGCTCTCCCCTCTCTATCTATACTCCTAGCCATGCCTGCAGTACTGGCCAGAGCCCGGCCGGCAGCAGTATGGCCTCATGGAGGTGGAGTTCGTGTCGGGCTCGGTGGATGAAGACTTGGTGGCCCGTGTCTTCCGGGTGCAGAACGTCTCTCGGGTGAGCAATCTGGGCGCCCTGTGCTGACAACCTAGGTGGTGGCTGGGGTATCAGCCTCATTAGACCCTCTTGAGGTCAGCATGGGGCCCAGTAACCCCGGGACTCACATCCTCCCTGGCTGGCTGCCTGTGCCTCAGCTGCAGGAGGGGCACCTGCTGGTGCGGCACTTCCAGTTCCTGCGCTGGTCTGCGTACCGGGACACGCCTGACTCCAAGAAAGCCTTCCTGCACCTGCTGGCCGAGGTGGACCGGTGGCAGGCGGAGAGCGGGGATGGGCGGACCGTTGTGCACTGCCTGTGAGTGCGGGCTGGTGGCGGGGTGGGAGGGTGGGGGCTGGGGGCAGAGGCCGGGTCTGAGAGAGGGCTGCCAGGTGGGCCCTGAACACCACCCCTTGGGGCCTCTAGATGGCTGTGGCCTGGATGCTGCGCAGCCAAGCGGGGATGGCCCTGTCTTCCCTGGAGGAATCCGGTCAGCTTCCAGGGTATAGACTCAACCCTGAACAACTGCCCAGCACCTTCTATGTGCTGTTTGACTTTGCCAATTGAATTAGGGTCCTGTCAGAATTGTTTACTGCATGAGACAGTAGCATACTTGAAGCCAAAAGAATTCCAGTCCTTGTTCATGCATGCATGCATGCAGCCTTGTTCATTCATTCCTTCACTTGCCCCATTCATAAATTCATGTGTTCACTCCTGTCGGGGTGCAGTTGCTCCTTTGACCCCCACTTTCTCATGCTCTTAGCGCTTACCGACCCTTCCAGTGCCAGCCCAGGCATACCGGGGACAGGGACAGGGAGCTGAGTCTGGCGGGGCCTGGCCCTCCAGGGGCCTTTGGTCCTAGTGGGAGAGACCCCTCAAAATGGGGGCTGAGGGCCTAGGCCATCCCCCATCTCCCAAGGGGAACCCCACACCCTGATGTCACAGGGAACAGAGGAGGGAGAGGAGACAGGGGATAGGAAGTGTCTCTGTATGTTTGGCTGCCGGTTTGCCTCGGAGTGTGAGTGTGTGCCTGTATTTTCACTGTGTATCTGTGTTGCTGGGGGTGACTGGTGTTTGGGGTATTCATTTTCCATCCTGCTCTCTGGGGTTTGCTTGCTGCTCTGCTGCCCTCCTTCATCTGTGTCTTTGTCTCAGTGGCATTCTCTCCGAGGGTATCTAGCCTCCTTTCCCTCAGAACCTGCTGTCTTTCTCCTAGAGGCTGGCTCCCTAGCTGCCTCCAGGCTTCGGAGGCCAGTCCTAGTGACTGAGCTCCCAGACCCCACCCTACTGGGTTCCCTGGGCCCCTCCCCTCCCTTCTGGGCTCCCTGACCCCACCCTCCTGGGTTCCCTAGGCCCCACCCCTCCCGTCTGGGGGTCCCTGCCCTTCCCTCCTGGGTTCCCCACCCCTCCCCTCACCTCTGGGCTCCCTGATCTCTCTCTCCTAAGGTTTCCTAAGCCCCGCCCCTCCTGTCTGGGGTTCCCTGGCTCTGCTCCTCACCTCTGGGCTCCTCATCCCTGACCCTCCTCCCTCTTGCTTCCCTGGTCACTTTTGATGTTCCAGCCCCAGGCCAACCCCTCCTGAGCCCCACCACAAGCCTTCTGTGTGTCTCATTTAGAAACGGGGGCGGCCGCAGTGGTACCTTCTGCGCCTGTGCCACAGTCCTGGAGATGATCCGCTGCCACAACCTGGTGGACGTTTTCTTTGCTGCCAAAACACTTAGGAACTACAAGCCCAATATGGTGGAAACCCTGGTGAGAGACCATGTCCCCTTCCCAACCACTTCCAGCTTCCCAGGCCAGGCCCAGCCAGGTCCCTTGGCACCGCTGTCCTCCACCTGGCTCCCCCTTTTTGGGCTTTGGGCTCTGATCTAATGGTGCCAACACAGTTATACCCATTTGACCAGGGCTCCTACTTGCCCTCTGGACCCCCATTATCCCTTTCCGTGATACCAGAGAGGGACCAGGCTCATGATTCCTTCTCTCCCTCTCCCCAGGATCAGTACCACTTTTGCTATGATGTGGCCCTGGAGTACCTGGAGGGACTGGAGTCAAGATAGCGGGGCCCCTGGCCTGGGGCCCACATTGTGCACTCAGGGCCAGGCTCAGCACTGAGGACGAAGACCTGTGCCCCTAACTCTGCTCCACTACAGCTCCCGCGGGGAAAGCACTAGGGTGGGCACTGTGCCACCTTGGTGCTCCCTTCCACTGTGGGCAGGGCCTCTCACCATGTCAGATGGGCAGGCTGTGGGCCAAGGAGGAGCTTAGCAAGACTGCAGCGTAGCCCACCTCCACAGGGTCCTACAGGCCTGTGCTGTGAGTCTGGCACTGCCTGGTAGAGTGACAGGGGCTCAGAACTGACAACTTGAGAGGACCCAGGCTCAAGCTCCTTGACTCCAGGCTCAAGCCCCAGACTCTGTCCCAGCCCTTGGCAGAGATGAGCGAGACCCTGCAGAGCCTGTGGCTGGCCAAGGTTTCCACCTGGCAGTGTGGCTTCCTCTTGACATGGATAGAGGGTGCACTGGGGCTTGGCATCTGGAATCCCGCCTGGCCCCTGAGGGTCCTGGGGAGACTGGGCACATCAGACTCGTCCTCCCCAGATGGGACTCTAGCCCCCTCCTCCACCCTGCTGCCCCCTCATCAGCCCCGGGGATATTTTGCTCATGATGCCTCCCACTATGACTTCCTTGATGTGTGCTCTGAGCTTCTGTGAACTGGGATCTGCCCATCCCTGCCCTATTCTCTGTGGGGCCCTATCCCTGCCTGACCCAATGTCTGCAGAATGAAGGCACCTCAGCCCTTCTTCCTGTAACCTTCAGGCCTCACTGGTGGGTCCTGCTCAGCCTAGGCCAGTGACAATCTGCAAGGTTGAACAACAGCCCTTGGGGTTGAGGTTCCTGTGGCTCCGGGTCAGGCTGCCCCCTGAGGACGAGGCACTGCTAGATCAGGGGTGCTTCCAACTTCTACAGTTCGGAGGAAGAACATGTATTTTGGGTTGGAGGAGCAATTCCTTTTTGTTAATGTCATTATTTTTTGATGGGTGGGTGGGAAAATCTCTTTAAAATGGGGCAGGCCACACCCCCATTCCGTGCCTCAATTTCCCCATCTGTAAACTGTAGATATGACTACTGACCTACCTCGCAGGGGCTGTGGGGAGGCATAAGCTGATGTTTGTAAAGCGCTTTGTAAATAAATGTGCTCTCTGAATGCCACAGAGCAGCCTTGTGTGTGTCTGACCAGCCTGAGTGGGGCCTGCTCACCAGCTCCCAGCCCCCTAGTGCATTGGGAGGGCTCTGGGCTGGGAGGCAGAGGCCTGGGTCTGGTCAGGCCTTGGTTTTTCCATTCACAAAATGGTGGGGATGTGGACCAGAGCATGGGTCAGGGAACTTCGACCTGTAGGGACAGGTTCCAGAGAACTCTGTCTATTGCTGCCTCCACCCAGGCCTCTGAAGCAGCTCCTCAGTCAGTGGGCTTCATCCTGAGATCCCTCAGGGGCACAGAGCTGCCTTTCACCCATGGGGGCCTGGATCTGGGTTGAGCTCTTTTGGGGACAGCATGGGAGGCTCAGGCTTTGGTATTAGGTGGATGAGCCTCCCCAGCTGTGAAACCCTGGGTAAGTCAGCTTCGGTTGGGCTTCGGTTCCCATCTGAAAAATGGGGATGACCCTGATAGGATCAGAAGAGGTCATGACTAAGTGCCTTGTGTGGCACCAGGCATACGGAAAGGGTTCCATTTCTAAACACACAACAGAGACAGACACATCCAGTCTCTATGATGGTCATTCCAGCCATTCCCAGCCTCGGGCTTCTACTAGGAATGGAGTGGAGGAGGAGTGGGCTAGCTGGTAGGGATCCCAGTCACTCCTGGCTCAGTCATAAACTTGTGTCATCTTGGGCAGGACAAGTTGTGTTTCTGAGACTCAGTTTCTTCATATGCTTCTTGATATATTGATTCTATTCTCACACTGACTGACCCTGTGCCTCAGTTTTTCCATGTATTCAATGTATTCTCTGATGAATACATTCCATGTATTCTCTGACGAATACAATCTATTCCAATGACTTTAGGATCTAACATCTTTTAATCTGAATTAAGAATTTATTATGACCCCACTTAGCTAGGGTACATGACCCCCACCCCCCAACCACACACACACACACACACACACACACACACACACACACTCAGTCTGAACTAACTGCTAAACCTTAACCTGATGGATTACAAGTATATGTCAGACATAGCCAAACAATAGAATGTGACTTGCTTTGACCAGTAGAAGATGGCAGAAGTGATGTTGAGTGAGTTCTGGATCTTAAGCCTCAAGGGGCATTGCAGCTTTTGCTTTTGCCCTCTTGGAACTCTTCCATGTAAGGAAGTCTATTAGCCTACCAGAAGATTTGGGGACATATGGAAGAACCAAAAGAACACATCCCATGGATGCCCCCGTACCAACTACCAGACCTGCAAATGGAGCCATCTTGGGCCTTCCAGCCTTGGCGATCTCTCAGGTGAGTATAGCTGCGTGATTAAGCTTAGCAGAAACTGCCCAACCAATCCCAGACCTGGAAGAGATAATAAATTGTTCTTTCTTTTAAGCCAAAGTTTTAGGATTGTTCGTTATGCAGCAAAAGCTAACTGTTACATATATGTTCTGGGCCGTGTGGATGCAGCTTTACTCTTTGCCCCATTGAGTACTGATCTCCTAAAGGGTGGGAAGTGTTTCTGCATTCATCCTGTTGTATGCATTGCTCAGCAAAGGGCTGGTCTTATAGCTGGTGCTCTAGAAGTGTTGGCATGAGAGAGGGAAGGAAGGAGAGAGTATAAGTCTGTCTGACCATTGGCATTTCATGGCTTTTCAGAGGAACTGGGAAGGCAGGCTGTGTGTTAGGAGGAAGGCCAGCTCCGGAATAAGCCAAGGTCCCACCCCTCACTCTACATATCAACCAGCCGGTGACCTTGCAGCCATTCAGAACCACCCCAGGCTCAGTTTCCTAATCTAGACAACATAACAATCCCTACTTGCAGAAAGTCTAGAGTTCAAATGTTTAAAGAACTAGCATAGTCCGGTGGTGACCCGACTGGCCCTCAGTAAATGCCATCACATGATCCCAAAGTCCCTGGCTGGTAAACACGGTCCACATGACCTTCCGTTCAGCACCCTTACCTCGTATTTAATCCATACGACAGCTCTTCGACGTAGGGACACCACCCCTTCATTCCGGGGATGAGGACACGGAGGCTGGAGAAGGCCCCTGACTCATTCGGGGTATCCGCTGTTACACAGCAGCATGGGGCTCCGGTTTGCCCCCATGTTAGGCTGACTCCAAAGGCCTCCAACTGCTCTGCTCCATGGCTGGTCTGGGTGGTGTTGACAGCTGGAGGATCCCTTGATGCGACACCAGATGGCCGGTGTGTGGCCCGGGCACTAGTTTGTGTCAGAGGTGGTGGCCTCTCGGACAAGGCAGCCGGTAGGACAGGAAGATGAATGGCCCAGGCTGGTTCTGCCCAGGGCCGCAGGCCTTGCAGGTGTGGGGAGTAGAAGCCCCCACCCACCCAGATCCCCATAGAAAGGGTTTCTAGAAGTGCAGACGGGCCGGCTGTCTGCTGCCAGAAGCTGAATTTGCTTCTTATGTCATCATAAATCCGGCCCGAGGAGCCGGCCGAGGCAATGATTACTCCTCACGCCCTCTCCGGCGGCCCCTGACTGGGACACGTCCTACATCCTGGGCACCCGGGAGAGGAACCGTGGCTTTGATGGATGTGGAAGCTGCTCGCAAGGCCCTCACCGGGAGCCCGCCCGCACCCGGCCCCGCCAGGTCCCTGGAGGACCTCTGACAAGCCACGGCCGAGGACCTTGCCAGAATCAGGCTGGCGATGCTGGGCCAGAGCCTACTTTGCCCTGTGGGGGGGTGGGGGAGCGGGGACTCTGGTGTCCGAGGCCTTGGCCTGAGGGCCTCCTCCTCGCGGGGACTTGGAGGCAGGCCTGGTCGTCGGTGGGCCCCTGGGCCTCAGCTGAGACGGGGGGAAGCCGCCACGGGCCGTGGGGCTCCTGGGGCCGGGGAGGCTGGGTGCTGGCGTGGGGGGCAGGGAGCATGGTTTCACCAGGTGTAGGCCGGGCTACCTCCCGGAGGCAGAGGACGGGGCTTTGGACGTGGTGATGCAGCCACGCGCAGCTTTATTTGGCACCTGCCGTGCCTGGGGCGCGTGGCCAAGAGCTCTGTGGGATTGTCACGGGCCGCTTCTGATGAAGCCCGTGAGCTAGGTACTCTCATCCCCGTTTTACAGATGAAGAGATGGAGGCTCAGGGAGCCTGTGACTTGCCCAAAGTCACAGAGGCACCAAGTGTCACACAAACTGCAGCAGCCACAGTGACTGATGGGGAAAAAATAAGCCAGATCACATGACTTGCCTGCGCAGACCCTCCGGTGACCTACTGCTCTGTAAGTAAAGGCTGAGCCCCTGGCCGTGACCGCCAGGGCCCTTCCCCGCTGTGGCCTCTGCCCGTGTCCCTCCTGCCCGCTCCTCTGCTTGCTCTGGCCTCATTTCTTCTCATCAATCCGAGCTCTGTGTCTGGACGCCCTTCACCATTGTATGCACGGCTGGTCCTTCTGGGTGTCCGGGTCCAGCTCAGATGGCCCGTCCTTGAGGGTCCCTCCCGAAGTGGCCTCCTTGGTGCCCCACCATCCCCGTGCCCATTCCAAGTAGGGCACCATCAGTCCAACATCAGTGACATTGGAGCTGATGTGGCTCAGTGGTGCCAGGCCACTGGCCTAAGCATCCACTCTGATTCTAGTGAAATCTTGGGTGTGGTTTGGGCTTTAGTCTCCTGAGTCGGGGCACCTGTCCTGGAAGGTCCCTGGATGATACTTAGTATAGACATTGTCCTTAATCTTCCCAGCAATCCTGAGAGGTAGATGTTACCAAAACCATTTGATATGAGGAAACAGGCTCCGAGCCGTGAGGCACATTGCTAAAGATCACACAGCTAGGAAAGAACCAAGATAAGATTAGAACCCATGTCACTTGACTCCAAAGCCTTTGTTCCTTAATCATCGCAGAAGTACTGGCAAATCTGAATCTGAACCACATTAATGATTGTAATTTGTCTTGTCGATGAGTCAGTCTGCTTTCTCAACACTCACGCTGGCTGCAGACTGGCTTAGCGGAGGCTCACAGTCCAACAGCCTCCCAGACTCAGTGGCAGGCACCTAGTTGGTCCGCAGAAAATACTGTCGAATGAGTGTTTAAGCGTCTGTTGAATCTGCAGGTGGTGGGGGTGGCCTGAGTCAGCGGGAGCCACTGAGTTGAGAAAGCCTCTTCAAGAAAAATGGAATGCATCTGAACTTACTTCCTACTTATTCCCAGAGGTGGGCAGAGGGAACCTGTCCAGGAATTTTATTTTCTGTTCAGCTGAAAGCTGAACAATGGGGCTTTCTCAAGCTGTGTTTATTTATGTGACTGCATTCTTTTTCTGAAGACAGCTGAGGACAGATTTCTCTCTCTAGGGCTCCAGTCCCTGCCTGCTCCCCAGCCCCCACCACAGGCAGACACACCCCCTGCTCCTCTAGCTGCTTTTCCTAACAGACCCTTTACTCCCTTCTATGTTTGCCTTTACCCCATGGTGATTCCTGATTTATTGTCTCTGAGCTCCGAATCCACCCTTCTTTGCCCTGCTCTGTGATACTGGAGCTGGACCCTGTAAACGGTTGTCTTTTGCCAGCTGGAGCAGTGCGAGGCTTTGTCAGTAGAGGGTGCTAGAGGGACACTCTAAGGTGATCACAACACCACAACACAAGGCACTTCCCTTCCAAGTTCTGGTCCTCCTTCCTTCCTTTTTTTTTTTTTTTTTTTTTTTAAAGAAAACCCAAAACCCAAAAAACTCAGCACAGGAGCAGAGACCTGAGTGGCCCTTGTGGCCCAGCTCCAGATGTACCCTCAGCCCCCAATCTTCATTTCTAGAGACCAGTGTTAACCCACACTCTCTGACAAAGGTTCTTACCTTCTTAGAGGCTGAATGTTCTTGTGGTCACCACTCCCTCATTGAAAAGGTCTGAATGTCCATCTTGGGAGAGACCTTCTCCTCAGTCTTCAGTTCATTTGTTATTCACTCTCCCTCAGCCTAGACATAGTAGTTGCTTCCTCCCTCCCCTTCCCAGAACATTCTTTCTTCTAGATGCTTCTTTCTTGCTGCTTTGGGG